CCCCTCAGGCCATCAAAATACAACTCATTCAGTACCCAAATCATTTTGCAAAGCCTTGAAATTTTTATATGTTATAGCCACAACTGTCCCCAACAATTTTTGTGAAGTAAGTATTTTGAAAATAGGCCTGAAAAAATTTATAAAAATTCGAACAGACCAGAAGGTCGGGTGAACAGTAAATCGGGCAGTTTTGTTTCGGTCCAAAGATGGACTTCCGAATGGCCTCAAATGATTTCCAAAAATTCTCAAATTAAAGTATGTCATACTTAAATATGTTGGGAACAACTTTCATGAAGAACACTTCTTCAGATTCAGCCCACAATGATCACAACAAAAATAACAAAGCGCAAAGGTACAGTAAAATCAGTAATCCGAAAATCAATAAACTTGCATCATTAAGCAAATTCAGCTCAAACACCTCTGAACCAAGTCTCCACAGCCTTAAAATCATCCCTAAATCATCACCTTAGGCCCTTAAAATCACCACAACATCAGCCCAAATCAGCCCCCACTAATTAACCCCTAAAACTTGTCCAAAGTGCACATAATTCTAATTAAGGATTAGGATTTCCATTCACCTATTTACGCTCCCCAAAATTCTAATCGACGGGAACGGGCGGCCGATTGCCGGTAAACGGCGAAATCAGCGGCGGCGTTCCAGCAGCTCACGGCGGAGGTTCTGGTTGGTGAGGGTGGGATGAGCAAGGCGAAGCGGCGAGCGGCGCGGCCGGCGGCTTGCTCCGGCGAGCGGCGGCGCATGGCGGTGGCTCACGGCCGAGCAAGGGAGAGGACGGGAGAGGAGGGGCTGATCATGGGGGAGAGGGGATGGCCGGAGGTGATAATGATGAGAATGAGGAGAGAGAGTGGAGGGTTTGACTAAATAGTCAAATTTTCCTTTAATGACCAAATTGCCCTTTTAACACTTAGTTCACATTACTTCAAAGTCCAATAATTGAGGGGTATTCTTGTCCAATACATTTGGGCTGATAATTATCCACATAATTTCCCAAAATTGTCCAAAATTCGGAACCCCAAAAATAGGCCATAAGGGCAAAACGGCAATTTTCCGGTCCCGGGTCGAAATTCCATTTTTCAACCGTACCGACCCCAAATGTGTGTGGCCAACATAATATGACGTCGGATTCGCAAAAATAACCTTTTAAGCCCTCGAAAATCGACTGCAAAGTTTGGAGGGGCAAAATCGTAATTTTTCTAATTTCGGCTGAAATTCCAATTTTCAGCTGGACTAGCCCCAAATGTATGTGGCCACACCAAAACGACGTTGGCATTGCAAAATAATCGCAAACACCCATATAATTTCGACATCGAAGTTCGGGTCCAATTTGGCGATCAAAATTGCTCAATTCAAATTTTTAGAGCCTCTCACTGACGGGTGGCTGTTTAGGGGTTACGCGTATCGACCTAGGGTTACTCGAGTCGTGACGGTCTCGATTACCGGGAGAACGCAAGGAATTATTGGTTATTCTAGGGGTCACGATCGTTCGGTTCAAGTTCGGGATTTGTTCGCCACTCGTACTCTCGGTCGAGCGGAATCACCCGCGATCCGATCGTACGTCGTTGGCCAAACCAGATCCGTCACCTTCCTAGAATCGGTCCACACTGGCCCAAAATACTTCCCTGCCGTTTCTCGGAATTAGTGCCTGATTCGCGATCGGGTCCCCGGTCCACGTACCGTTTTCCTAATTAGCCTTTCCCATTGGTCAGTATCCCGCGAGGGGCCAGCTCCGGGCGAGACGTACTAAAATCAGATGAGAAATAATATCCACTTCGTTGGATCCCGAAAATGGGTCGAAATTCAGGATGTTACATTAACAGAGGGTAAATTTGTAGCAAGTGTACCAGTTTGGGATTTTTTATGGTAAAAAATTTAGTTTGGGATAAAATTTGTCACATGTGTACCAATTTGGAATTTTTCATTGTATTAATCATAAATTATATTTTTAAGTAAATTCTCTCTTTTCCCTCCACATCATTTCCCTTCAACGCGCTTCCAAACAATATTTTTTTTCCTTCAAAAATTTACTTATTTTTTTCCCTTCCACTTCGTGTATTTTCAAGATAAAGAATATATGAGTAAATTTAGGGTGCGCATGACAATCATTCTGTGCCCAGGAACTATTTCTACTTAGAAATGATTCTTTTTTATTCTGTGCCCGGAAACAATTTCTGAGCATTTGAAGGCGTTTGGTAACTGTCCAAAATTTCTATTCCCGGGATAGAAAAGAACAGAAATACGCTTGGTAACTACACAAAATTTCTTTTTATTAATAATATTTTAAATTGTTTAATATTTTTTTTCTTTCTACCCTTCCTTTCTTTGGCCATGGCCGGTCGCCGGCGCCGGCTACCGGCCACAGGCCAGGGCGTCGCGGCCCTGGCCACTTGCCTCACCGCTGGCCTCACCCAGATCAGGCGAGGCCGAGCCTCGCCGTCGGTCGTGACGGTAAGGTCGGCTTCGCCGTGGGTCTCGACGGCGAGGCTGAGCCTCGCCGTCGAGACCCACGGCGAAGCCGACCTCGCCATCAGTCGCGAGGCTCGGCCTTGCCCGATCTGGGCGAGGCCAACCTCGCCATGATCGACGGCGAGCCGCCTCACCCAGGCGGCGAGGGGGACCCTTGCCTCCGCCGGCGAGGGCCGTGACGCCCTCGTCGGCCCTGGGCTATGGCCGGTCGCCAGCGGCCAGCCACAGCCCAGGGAAGAACAACACAAAGAAGAAAAGAAAAAAAAGAAAAAGAACTCATTCTCAAAATTGTGCCGAGAAACAAGAAGCAACTTTTTTTTTATTTCTTGTTTTTCTTCGAAAACTATTTCTGGGCACAAATTTTTGCAAAAATGTGCCCGAGAACAAAAAGTTTGCCTAACGCATTTATGTTCCCAAACTATTTCTGGGAACAAAAGAACAGAAATTTTCACTGTTTGGCACGTTACCAAACGGGCCCTTACTCATTTTTTTCCTCGGCATCATGTCCCTTCTATGCACTTCCAAACAATATAAGGGAATTAAAAATTTCCATTCCATTCTTTTTTTCCTTCCACTTCCTTTATTTCCTTATTTGGAAAATTATCCAAAAAGTCCTAAATCTATTACACTTTTGTCAATTCAGTTATAAACCTTTTAAATGTGCCAATTGAGTCATAAACCATTTTACGTTTTACCAATTGAATTCATCTGACCAATTTTGGCTAGAAATCACTGACGTTGACACTAGCTATCCTACGTGGCACATCCAATAATGAAGTGAACAATTTTTAATATTTTTTCTTCATTTTCTTTTCCTTTTTCTTACTTTTTCTTACGGTGGCCAGCGAGGTCGCCAACCCTCGCCGCGATGCGCGGCCGCAGGCAATGCTAGCCTCGCCCAAACCCAGATTATCGCAGCCTCGATGACGAAGCGAAAGAGAGGATTGCAGATAGGTTATCATTGCTCGAGAACCTCCACAAATGTTAATAACTTGAAAGCGATGAGATTTAGATGCGTTTCAATCCATTTCTCATGAAAAAGAAACTCTTCATCTTATTACACCAAGTTCATACGATCTTGGCAAGGCAAAAAACGATACAAATAATAGACACGAATACCATATTGCCATCTTTCAGGTGAAAGAAGAACCGTCGTTTTTAATATGAGAAACAAAAGACTTTGGGCCTTTTTGTGGGATCAAATGTACAAGTTTATAGGGCTATATTATCTGAAATCCGTCCATGAAGAAAAGGGGTTCTCCATTCTCCATCAACAGTTCTTTTCTAATCCGAAAGATTTCACCATGCAAAAAGATCGATGGATGGATGGGTGGTTACACAGATAAGCGATGGAATCCCTTTCGTTTAAGTAAGTGGCCAAGTTTCCCTTGGACCGGGCCCGGCTCGAGTATAGAGCTTGCTATTTTTGCTCGGGCTACGTTTTCCTCCGACCCCGGTGGGAGCAAACTTCTTCTTACCACCATTCTGATTGATGGGTTACGAGTTGCGGACATCACTCGCATGCAGAACCGACTAAACGTGAGTGCCGGCGATGTCCATGATCGTAACCCGCCGGATCAGAAGGACGATTGGACGACAACAAGGCATTTTTTTGGTCTAGGCTGGCCGGTGGCGAATTAGCTGATAGTCATGCCCGGCCCAGCATGATGCTTTCCTAATAATGCCCACGTATTCTTTCAATTCTTCATGGCGTGCTAGGCCTCATTTGGTTTAATCGTCACAAATCCATAATTGAACTCCAATATAAATTCCGACCAAAAAAAAAAACTCCAATATAAATTGAAGCAAATCGCAAATTTATGGGATAGGGATAGCATTCCCTTTTCAATTGGTTGGATGACTAATAATTTTTCGATAGGGATTTTTCGAATTTTAGGTGTTTTGAAGTAACCACATCTCAACCATCGATCACTCAATAAAGTTTTTAGCTTCGTAAATCCTTATCTAAACCAAACGCGAAGGAAAGGAAAAAAGATCATGAGCATTCAAGTTGAATGATTGAATGAACCGGCAAGAACTTCCATGGAAAATTTTCCTTTCTTTCCTTTGCTTTTTCTGAAAAATAAACAAAACATAGAAGTCAATCGATGCCTTTTGAACATGTGGCTCCAACATTGACAACAAGAAGGACGCACTAACATCTTTCTCGTAAAGAGTTGGGACATATAATTGCGCCGGGGGCATGTGAGCCCAGGTCACGTGTGCCGTCAGATCAGGTTGGTCCGATACGCACTCGTCTCATCTAACGTTAGATATGATCTAGGTTCAATTAATGCTTTTTTTTTTCGAATCATATAATCCAGAAGAAACTAATTTAAGAATATGAAAAACGCGAAGCAAAAGTTGGTTTCGCTTTACCACTTGTCTATTTGTTCATGGGTTGTTCAAAGAGCTAGGGAAGCAAAAGGCTTTGCCTTCGTTACAAAGGAAAAGCAGCAAAAGAGTTTGTCAAGTGGTTTCAGAAGGCTACTGAGAAAGAGAGAAAAAGCGACACTACTAGCTCTAGCAGCTTTATTACTCCAGAAAGAAAAATTACAGCTTTGTTACTCTAAGCCTAAAATGGAAGGCATAAAGTGTGCATATTTAGCAAGGGGGATCATGGGTACAAGTGCAGAAAATGGAGACATACTTGCATGGTTCGGGTTCGTAAATATCGATGTCATCGGAGCTGCTCGATCGCGTTTATTAAAAGTTCACACGAGACTTGCCGTCGTCGATGATTGCAATTGACCCAAGATTCACAGCGGACCGAGCCGATGAGCCTGAATGTTTTCCCTCTCATCTGCCTCTTGAAGTGCAACGGTTGGCGTTCGTGTAGGTCTGGTTTAGAGGGTGAAACTGGAGGTGACAGTCTAGGTGACACCAAAACTTGACCGAGCCCAGAGGCCCCACCCTCCACCGAGCCCTGGCAGTGCCCTTCAGATTGAACGTGACCTGGTTCCGCGTCAGCGAACTGCTGGCGATCTGGGTCTGCTCCGGGGCGAGCGAGATCGGGAACGACTGCACTACGTAGTGGAATGTCTTGGAATCATTTTTGCTCACGTCGAACGGGTCGGCGCGGAGCTGTGCGATGTCCAGCCCGACGAAGCTGAGCACCAAGTCCATGTTGTGGAAGCTCGCGTGGGCCTTGGCATTGTCGTTCTCGGCTTTGATGTCGATGCTTACCTGGGACACCAGAACCCCGGCCAGGTCGACCTGGAAGATGTCGAGGCTCGCATCGACGACGCTGATGAAGGGCACCCGGGGGTGGATGATGACGTAGCCGATGAACACGGCGATGCCCGCGACGATCGCGGCCACCGCGATGATGGCGCAGATGATGGCCGCGCACCAGATGATTGGGTGGGTCCGCTGCTCTTGCCACGGGTCGTGCTCTTTACTTGCCATGTTAGAGGGAACGATAGGATGAGGGATTAGATTTTTGCCTCTCGAGAGACAACATGAGGGCCAAGCACAAACGGGAGTTCCTTCCTTTTTCCCCAAAGATGATTTCTAAGTGTTGGGAGGGACGTGGGAAGGAAGAGGGAGTTAGCTTGGGTTCTCGTGTTTTGATGTTGGGACGGTTTGGTATCTTTCTGTTGTGATGTGGGGTTGGGAGTCTTGCTGTATCTAGGAATCTACTTAGGAAAGCTTTATTGAGGGGACAAGGGAAGGGAAAAATTCCAAACTTGCATGCACTACTTAATACCCAATTGAGTGTTTTCTTTCCCACTTTGTGCTTAACAAAGAAGGAAATTCATATTTTGGGATTGCATGTGGAGGGGAACATCATGGGTTCAATCCTACTTTTCCCTATTGAAATAGACCTAATGATCACAGGTGTCGGTTCACTCTGCTTTTAAACCATTCTATAACATTAGCCAACAGTCTTTTGCTAAGAACCACATCAATACACTCAGTCAGATGCATCAAAGGCGTCGCGCTGATGTCCCGGGAGGGTTTGGCGACATAACGGATTGTACAATTCGCCGAGACAAGGAAACCGGATCGCCAATCCGACACCACAATGCTCGAACACAACGACTGCTGGTTGAGGAGTCCCTAACATTGGGAAGACATCTTGGACAAGAAAAAGCTTCCATATGTCGCCTTTGTCTCGCTGGCGAGAGATACCTTTTTCCAGGACACACGGATCCTTGAAAATGTTCTAACTGATGGGCAAACAAACATCCATTGATTGGCTTCCAAGGTATCTCGGATACTCTAAAAATATATTTAATTATTAATCATCAATATACAATTCAAGAATGATTTGGATGTCAGGATCAAAGGACAGGGCCTAAGTTCCTCAAATATTCCAGGCATATATGATGCTTTAGTTTTGTCTGCAACATCACCCCCTTCTTCTTGCGCTAAAGATTTTACTATTTCCGAAGGAACTAGAATTACATCAAGACAGCATTCTTCAGAGCATTCTTGCCCATGCTGCTTCGGTGGCGAAGTTATTGTCGACCTCGTTATGCAGCACACCCTATCAATGAAATTTAAGAAACAGAGAGATCCATATTGAATTTCGCAGAAAGAAATGTCCATCGAGCCTTGACATTTTTCTGCACGATGACCGATTTTCTCCAGGTGTTCTCCTCAGTTGCCATAACAGACATCGATCGAGGAACTCCTGCTACTATTCTTGCGGAATCAGCCTGAAGAAAGAGCACAATCACACCAAAAACCATCAGTGTCGAACAACACATTCGCTCGGAGGGTCATGTGATCATCCTGGTCAATAGTCATGTGGTAACGTTACGCCTACAAATAGGCTTTGTAATTAAGAAAACCGTCAGAGGGATGAAAAGACCTGACGTCATATTGACGAAGGCTTCTTCTGATGGAAACTAATCATGGCCAGTGTACTCTTGGCTCGTGAAGCTATTAATCAACACTTCGATCAATTAGAGTTCACGTCACAACATATCACCACCACCAACTGGCCACCATAATTGTTGATCTGAATGGCCACAATCTACCGTCAACTCTATGCTATCTTAACGACCCTTTCAATCTTCTTGAGCTCAACTGCTAACAACTCTAACATGACTCAATTTTGTTGAGCTCAAGTAACTCGAGTATCAAACCTACTCTAGCTGGACTGTTGCAATACTTAATTCAAGCACCCAATAGCGCAGTCAAGTAGTTGAATTCCCATATATTTCCTATTGGACTTGCGCTTGAAAAGTCAAGCTTGCTCAAGCTCGAAACGAATTGAAAACATTGGATTCTCGATTCAAAAGCTCATGTAATAAAAGGGTTCATCTCAACTCAGCTCTGTTACGCCCATCTCGGCAACGCCGGGTTACTTCCAACTGAAACTTGGGGGCATGATCTTGCCCTTTTCAACAAATGGATTACCGCATTAGTAAAGATATGAAGGCCCCAATACTGAGGAAATTCTCACAAACAAAGGGATGCAACATATAGAACCAGGTCATTAGCTTGTGCCCACATGTTAAGAGAGTATCAACCTCAATCAACGAAAAGAACCAATGGAACAAGATAGGGTCAGTAGACAAGTGCAAATAAATATAATATGAACTAGAGCATCTTTGTTGGTTTCCAAATATTTTAACAAAAGGTAGACGGCAGACATGAGCAACTTTAACATAGACAAGAGGTCCAGAACCAGGAATGACCTAAATCATCCAAGTTCAGAATTGAACGCAGCTCATAGAAACAACAGAAACAGAAACAAATTATAGAGCATGGAAAGGAACCTTATGAGGATTTAAAGGGTAACCAAGGTCCGCTGAAATGAAACAGGAGAGAGATAATGAGAAGCGCTGGCTCAATCATGATAATATGAGGTACAGGAATACTATCTAGGATTGTGCCTAAGTTAAAGTAAAACCTAAGAAATCAGATCGCGGAGACAAAACTGAGGGATTGCCATTGACCCATTGAAAAGAGACTGGCATAGTAGTGACGACGGATGTGCAGTCAATCATCTACTCATACTAATGCCAGAATGCAAAAATCACCTGATGACATGGCTTTTGGCTGCACAATATTCAATTTACAGGTATCCTCAAGGCTACACACTGTTACAATACATTCCAAAGTCTCAGCCAGAAGAAAAAAGCACACATTTTCCTCTCTCTCTTCATTTTTGGTGGAGTGTCCTGCTTAAGTACTAGGTATTACCCTTCAGTTTGCTAATAACAGTTCATCATAACAAAAACGATCTAGTTCATAACTTTCTGGCAGAAATATGACAATTTTTACAATCTGTTTTGACTTTTCAGTTGCTCAATTGACAGGTTCTTTTTTACCCCCTGATAAACAGGCCTGCAAAAAGGATCGTGCCTAAGGTAAAGTAAAACCTAAGAAATCAGATCTCGGAGTCAAAACTGAGGGATTGCCATTGACCCATTGAAAAGAGACTGGGATAGTAGTGACGACGGATGTGCAGTCAATCATCTACTTAAACTAATGCCAAAATGCAAAAATCACCTGACGACATGGCTTTTGGCTGCACATTATTCAATTTACAGGTATCCTCAAGGCTGCACACTGTTACGATATTCAGTTGCTCAATTGACAGGTTCTTTTTTCCCCCACTGATAAACAGGCACGCAACTTTAAGCAAAGCTTTAGTACCGTTAAACCTAATGCTTAAAATGTTCTAGGGCTCCTGACGTGATAACATTTCAACATCTAGACAGAGCTGCTTAACACTTTATGGACACTCCGAACAAGCAAAACAAATAAAAATTAAATGCAAAAAAATTATCAAACAGCGCACGATAATAATGAAGTTTCAAAATTTTAAGAAAAGACCTAACACACATAGATGTAACACAATTTAGGTAGATGCACTAGATTACGAACAAAAGGCTGCCTAAAGCCAGATATATGTAAACTCAGAAACACAGTTGTGAGAGCTTATAATCCGAAATCTAATCATCAAGTTGTTCAACTTAGACAAGCAGAAAGATGGTGTCCATCACATCCATAGCGACAGGAGAAGTTGACTTTCCTGCAAAAGCATCATTGAACCAATGAGCAGCTGCCTCCAAATAGCCTCATACCTCACGATGAATTTGTCCAGTAGAAAAATCCGTTTACTCCTAAAATAGAAAAAGTCAAATTTCTCCAACTGCCATTTGCAGGTTGTAAACTATGAATTAGCATTCACTGCAACACATATGCCAAATGTAGGCGGAGGAGCAAGAAATCATCTATTCTGGCCTTGCTCCTGGCTGCACAATAATTCGTGAAGGTGAACTGGGTGAACCTATGGAATTGACATGATTGGATAGTTTACCAGGTAGTAGGATAAGTTCCACATTCGAACAATTGAGAACCTGACAGTATAGGATAGATTCCAAGGCACGGTCCACACCAAACCGGTACATCTTGTACCCTACATCGCTACAACCTATAATATGCTCTTGACATAATTATTGTTGTTGAGCATTTCTTCATTTTTTACCCATATCATATAAAGAATGTTTGATACTTTATTGTAGACTCTTTGTATTTACCTTTTATCCCTTAAAGCAATTGCAGATCAAGTATGCATTTAAAATTGTACTTTACAACATTTTTTAGTTTCTACTTACAAATATGCCGAAGAGGTTTAAGGCAGTGCAAGATTTTCCAAAACCCATGGAACCGGCATCACTGGTTTTCGGATGGTTCCAACTTCCAAGAGGTTATGGGTAGGTTTCAATTAACAGTTCAAAATTGACGTTTAAGGGAGTCTGACAGATATCCTGCTCACCTGGAACTCCACCATCCCTATCTCATTCAAGTCATTTTACACACATAGGATTGGTGGGAGTGGCAGTTACAAGGTTTCACAGTTTGTCAATTAGAGTTATAGAGATTCCTATTGTCTAAAGCATGGGATATAGACAGAACTACCGAGTTCTACAATCTTAAAGTGTCCTATTCAGAAAAGTGTTACAAAAAGGAAATTTTCTTAAGATTCCCTTTTCTTTTTCAATAAAACTGAGAGGGTGAGAAGGGGCAACCAACATAGCTACTCCTTCTAGCTGTTGTCACTAGAGTCACATACCCACTAGAAAATGTTCAAATTTTAGATGGTGGAAAAATTGTCACTAAGCACCATGTGCCACCATCAGTCCGAAGTAGGCGTGCCCATCAACAAAGCTCTCCAAGGTGCTAGAGGACCGGAATCCATTCACCAAAGTGAGATACACTCACTACTACCGCAAGCGGATTCGAACAATTGACCTCACGTATAGAATATTAACCCATATCATTAGGCCACCATGCCCGGTGGCAAGGACTTGTCTTAAAAGTTGATTAGTTTTGGCTGTTCACAAAGAAATTATAGGTTATATCCCTCACAGCCACGCCGCCAAATAGGTTGCTAAAGTTAAGGCGGATGGCCTTCCACTTACTGTGAGAGGACACATGAAGGAAATCTCTTTATGGCCAGATTGAATTAAACATTTTGTTTATTACCAACATCAAAAGGCAGGGGCAAGATAATAGAGAACAGTTCAGGCTTTCATGCTCTTGACTTTGTACACATGAAACTTAATCATGAGAGCAACCAGTAGTTCACTGATCATAGCTCTACATAACAAATGCATTTTCCAGCACAATGGCCTGAGAAGATGAAAAGCATAACTGGACTTTGTAGCAAAATTATTCGCAGGAGCAACCCGTAATTAAACCAGCAGTTCAAGATTTAAAGTCCATACCTCATTGGCCATTAACCCAAGCAGTAAACACCACAACCAGGAAAATGGTAGTTATATATTCAATTTCGAGTCTCGAAACAGGCGCATGGACGGTCAGGCAAGGCAATAATGTCAATTTCTTTAATAGAAATGTCTTGACACCATGCTCCATCATAAGGGAAATATGTACTTAACAATCCCTAGACTCCAGGAGTACGCAGAAAAGTAATGTAGGAAACGAGAAACCAAACCAAAGATATGTTCCCAAGAGACCCAAAAGTCCATAAAAGATGGGAAGGACCAGAATTATAAAGTAATGAAGCAGGGCTCTAAAGAGCAGGTGATAAGGAGAATACGCTAAACACTATAGGACTTTTTATTACGCAGAATTTCTTTAGAGAGAAAAGTACATGATGTACTTTTGAATTAGATGGAGAGAAGAAAAGGCAAAGAAAAGGAGAGGAAAAGAACAAAGAGATAGAATGGTAAGAGGGGGAGTGACTGTGGGCAAAGGTGAAATGTCAAAGCTAGGACAATCCACCAGTAGAAGCCAGAATACACTTCAGCTTGACATCAGAGAATTACTTTTGAGGTCAAGCTTGTGCATCTCTTTCGAACCAAATGGTCAAAAAGATGTGTAGTTGGCCATTTTGAAAGTTCCTTATAATTGTATGGACTTCCGCAAATTCCAGGAACCAAAAAAAGCCATTCACTTTTCGCTGCATAAGCCACGGAAGACTATTTGAAGAGAAATGGAACATGAGGTCCCAAGCAACCTACCAGTGAAGTAGGAGACCATCTGCCATCTCCCTGGCTCTTTTGCATGACAGCACTCCCCAGTAATAATAATTCTTCTAAACCAAATATTCAAGAATAGGAACATCGAAGCTCCCTTCACAAGGTAAAGAATGAAAACAAGATTTGCAGAATGAGTTATCAGGAGCTATGCAATTAGTAGAGGAATCAAACGAACAAAAAATGCAAAAGTAAACAACAAAATGCCAGGGAGAGAAAGAGAGAGATGCTCACATCAAGAAATTTTTATTCACTGCAACTAATCTAATTCTTTAGGAGATTTCCCAAAATAGAGAGAAAAAGTAGATGTAAACATGAGAAGGTTCTGAAAAAGAAGATTGTATGGGGACAACTTTGTGTGGGGATATCTTCAAGCTCTCCATCTCCTTGAAAGAAAATCATATGTGTCCATTGCACTCCTCCTTCCCGCCTTATACAAGGCATCCTTCAACTTTTCCCTCGTTGATTCATAGATGCTAATTCTTCGATCAAACATGTCTTCTGCAAATTTCCTCAACTCTGAGAACCTACCCAAAGTGCAGAGGCCAAGAAGCAAGGCATTGGCACTTGCATCAAGATGCGAGAAGCGGTTGTCAATCATGTAGTTCCATATATCGACACCTGTCTCAGGATCGTCGCCATCGAAAAACATAGATATGGCCATGGAACAATTAGAATGAGTTGGTGGCAACTCATTCTTGATCATCTCAATGAAAAATTTGGCTGCTTGGCGGACCTTCTTGTTTTTAACAAGACATTCAAAAATCATGTTATATGTCAAGGAATCAGGAAAAGCACCATGAAACACCATCTCATCCAGCAGCCTGAATGCATTGTCGGTGTCGTCATTGTTGCACAGCAGACCGATCATTTGGTTGTACATGAACAAGGTAGGCATCAATCCACTACTGACCATGATATCCCACAACAGGATACAGTTGTGTGAATCATTGCTCTTACTAAGAATATCAAAGGCAGTGGAGAAAAATTTCAAACCTGGAAAGCAGTTTTTTCCCTTCATCACCTGGAGAAATTTGATGGCCTCCTCAGCATGCGATCCACGAACCAGTGTAGTCAAGAAAGCATCATAAGCTGACAAGTTCTGCGAACTCCATCCAACGCAGACAACCATTTCCCCAAAAGTGTTCTTGGCCTTGTCCACATTTCCCTCCTTCTCCCAACCTTCAAGCAGAATTGCGAACGTTTCCTCATCCGGGGGTATCTTTCCCTTGATCCTATCGTAAACCTCCGATGCCCTTGTCGTCTGCATGTCCTCAGCGCAAATAGCGCTCAATATCGAGTTAACCGCCACAGTATCCTGTTGAATCCCATACTGGTCCATCACATCAAAGGTCATGACCGCCTCACTGACCCGACCAGCACTGCAGTAGCTTGAGAAAACTGACGCGAATGTTGCCATCGACAGCGCACCCTCTTTCTTCATGGAGCGTATAGCATCCCACATTTGCTCAAAGGCTTGGTTCTTGCCGAGCAAGTCAACCATGAGATTCCACGCGATCGCAGAGTGCTTGTGCTTTTGGCCGGCCCACCGGAAGAACTTCACGGCTGAAGCAGGGTAATTGTAGGAATACTTAAGGACTTCTTCCACAAGGATCGGGTTCGCGGGGATCTCAGTGGAGTCAAGCGCAGTCTCAATCTCCCCGGGCGGTGCACTCACGAGGATATCGCACACAGCTTTGGCCATTGGGGAGATATCATTGGCATGGACATGGGAGGGGAACCGAAGGGGCTGCAAGTTCGGCGGCAGTCTCAAGTTCGCGTGGTTTGTCAAAATTTGTGAAGGGGGGACAACCTTAGGAGGGTATTTAAGCCCTGATCGACCGAAGTGTTCCGCCATGGCTTCCATTAAACCAGAGAGACCGAGAGACCCAAACACCAAAACCCCAGAAGCAGAAATTCTCAATCTAGCATCCTAACCGCGGCCAAATTCCCATACCCACTAACGACTTCAAGCATCAATCCACTGCAAAATCGCAAAGTTCGAGTCTTTTCTCCCTTTTCGAACGGGAATTCATATGGGTGTGCACGATTCGTGCCTCCCTTTTTTTTTTTTTAATGTAGGTGCTGAGGAGGAGAGAAGGTTGAGCAGAGAGGAACCTCGAGAGCGATAGCGGCGAGCAGTGCCCACCGAGCTTCGGCGACTGTCGACCGAACCAAGCTTACGACTGATCGTCTCGGGGTCAGAGGGAGGGAGGGATCATCGGTCGAACGCTCGAAGAAGAGAAGACGGGGGGGACGAACGAGGAGCTGAACCTCCCGAGCGCAGCAGCTCCTGCGCAAACAGAAGAGCGGAGCTCCGTCGGAGAGAGAGAGAGAGAGAAATTGATTACTATCTTTATCCCTCGCAAGCCGCCTAGTCCGGCCAAATGCCATACGATAGTGATCACAAGTTCACAACTGTGTTGTAATTCGGAATAAGGGGTGAGCACGATCTGACCATAGGAAGAAAACCAACCTAGGATCCAAAAACGGACCAACGAGAGAGCGTTGTACGGAACGAAAGTATTAAGTGGTTTGCGAGCGCCATGTCACCGGTTGACGTGGCGTGCATCTTTTCAAAACAAAATCACTTACAAAAAAAAAGTTCTTGTCTGAGCCCCTGGGCTCCGGGGCCATTAAGGCTTCGTAAAGGGTCTTCGCCAAATTCGGAAGCTTTCGCTCGTTCTTGGATCGCAATCTCCGTGATCAGTCCGTCAAGGGTCACGGTTATCGCGGCAGCCTCCGTCAAGCCGAGCCATTCCCTCTATTTTTCCATCAACTTTGCGTCTCTATCGAGATCATCCGGGCTAGATCTAGAGGCACGAGGGAGGTGAGGCAACCAAGGCAGAGGGGAGAAAACTCGTGTCGGGCACAGTGGTCGTGGCGCCGCAATCAGTATCAAGGGATGGATGGAGATTGCGGCGACTTGCGCGGCGGCGACAGCCAAAGCCGGATTCTCAAGTGGCTAGGCAGATAATGGTTCGACGGAGGAGCAAGTGGTGCCCGAACGGAAGCAGATAGAGGGGAAAAATAAGATTTTCGCTCTTTCATTCGAGACACGCGTCAAATTATAAGTGGTCCATCCCAGGAAAAAATGTTCGCCGCCTCGCTAGTGACGTGGGGCGTTCGCAAACCATATGGACATTTTCCTCGCGATTTGGAGAAAAGGGACTCATAAGAGAGGCTTAAAACACTCCACCAAAACGGCCTTTCAAACCTATTAAGGGGCCTCTTGGCAAAATTGCCGAGGGTGTTTGAGGATGGAAAATGCAAAGGCCCAACATTTGTAAAGGCTCATAGCTCAACGCAAGTTTTGGCCAGTATTGACATTATGCATTTTTGGAACGTCGCTTTCAGGGCTGATCAATTTTTTCTTCCTTCAAATCATGTTCCCACCCATACTTTCATATTCCAATCTCGTTCTCGTAAACCGTTCCATCGTCTCCCTCTTTGACACCGACGCTGCACATCTATAGACCGGTCTTCTGAAGCTCCGCCGAGGATTGAGCGAGCGAGGCCAACCGGAATGTCGCCGAGAGTGGCGGCGGGTCATCACCAAACCCCATTTGACTCGTCGTTTTCTCGATCAAAATGACATTTGATGGTGCCAAGCAACATTGCTTATTCAGCATCATTTCTACCCGACGTATTTTCTTGACCATATAAAAAAAAAACACAATAGAGTAATGTGATTGATATTTATTAGATCAAAGAGAGTTTTGAATATTCAAATTCGAAGGCGCTAAAAGCTCTTATCGCAGCATGGCATAAAAGAGATCACTAAGTGATGATAATGAAATGTGACTACGATTGAATTTGCAATTTCACCGTTCACGAAAATATCGAAAGGGCACTAATATCTCAATTCAATTCCGCGTCAAAATTGTAGGTTCTTAAATAAAAGAGTATCTTGAGTCAAAATTTCGTTTCTGCGTCCAGAATTAAAATCATAAAAAACCACTTTTCCGAACATGAAAAATGAAAATTTTCCGCTTTCAAAATAATAGACTACATTTTATTTGTTTTTCCGAAACAGTTAGTTTTATCCATGGTCATCGAGACGAGATTTTCACGTAAAAAAAAATGAATTTCTCATCGTTATCCAACGGTCACTTGTTATTGATTTCGTTTCTTTCGCAAATAATGTGACATTTTTGGAAAATATTTTTCAGTAAATTATTTTCCACGAAAATGACAATATTTAACCTGAAAATGAAATGGAAGAATATTTTTCTCTAGTTTGTTTTAATAAAATTGATTTTGATTTTCCTAAATAGATATTCACTATTCGGGTGCTAGTAACTTGCGCATTGACAGCCGGAGAATTGAACATGAGCACTAGAGTCCCGAGTCCGGCCGCGATGACCCTGACCACCCAAGTGTCGAGGATTGGAGCACAGGCACCGGGGCTTCAGCCCTGGCCTCAATAGAATTGGGCTCGGTCGCTAGTGGCCTGAGCACGGGCATCGGGGTCCCGGTCTTTGCCTCGATGGACTCGAGCGAGGGCACCGGAAATTCGGGCACGGGCACCAGGGTCACGGGCTTAGCTTCGATGGACTCGGGCTCGAGCGTAGGAGACTTGGTCATGGACGCTCAGGACCCAAGAGCCAGCCTTAGACTTGCCGTGCACAAGCGTAGAGTTTCGGACCCAAACGTTAATACCTAGTCATATTTTGAAAAAATGATTTCGAATTTTTTAAGGAGGAAATCAATTTCCTGAATTTAAGCATAGATTTTTTTCATTAACTAAAAAAATATTTTCCGTCGACTCATTTTCCTAAGCGAACCAAAGACCGGAAAGTGTCTTTTGGCAAAACAAATGGGAGCCTTTTTACCGTTCCCGAAAGAAAACCGTCGATATCCATCCCTAAACCGTGTGAAGAGCAAGGCTCCATCTGGCCATTTCCATTGCTCGCCACAGACCCAGAAGCGCCGCACCGTGTCCACATGCAGGAACGAGTGACAAACGGGGCGCATCATCGTCCGCATCTGCGTACAAAACTTGCAGTAGTGATTGGATTTGGACTGCATCTCCATCCAGAAAGATCAGGTCCCAGCTCCAGGAAGTTTCCAAGTGATGGAGGCCATTTATCCCCCACTCGAATCGATTCCAGGGAACAAAAAGCTCTTCCACCAGTCCTTTCCTAGGAATCTTTAGAGTGGGGGCCATTTGACCCCCGTCGATTGACATTACTCCGGCCGTGTTTGGAATTCGATTAGCGTCGCGAGCTGTTCGCCGATACGAGATAACATATCGGGTTTGATCCTTCTAGCGATGGCTACGCAACATCGAGTCCTCGCCATCGTCCACCTAATGTTAGGTGAATTCGACCTGCCTCATGGGAAAAGCACTAGTTGGGCAAGAACCCCCCTTTTTCAAGGACGTTAATGATTTGATATACCGAAACCGTTCCGAGCACAGCTCGTGGGCCTCTTGCCCCGCCTTCAAAGCAACTGAAAGATTGCTCCCTTGGAAGGAATGAATCAATCCTTCCAACCACTCACCGAAGCAACCAGATCATCCACCATCGCAAGCCAAGGACCGCTTCCAATTTCTTGAGTAGCCCCTAAGCCTTCTCTATTCCTAGCCTCTTCCCATCACCAACTCTCCCCAGAAGAAGAAGGACAACAACCAAGCAAAGAATCCCGGAATGGGAAACCGCCGGCCGGGTCTCGCCGCGTTGCTGCTCTCCTTGGCCATCGTCTCCCTCGGCGTCGCCGCGGCCCTCTCGAGCATCGCCGCCGAGATCAAGAAAACCAAGGTGAACGTTAGGGAGAGGAAGTTGTCGCTTCATTAGAATCGATGGGGTTGGTGATGTCATTGTGAAGTGATGTTTACGTTCTGTTTTCTCCAGCTGAGGCAGCTCAAATGGGACGGCAAGCTATGCTACTTGCCCGGGAGCGACGCGTTCAAGTACGGGGTCGCGGCGCTGGCTTGCCTCTCGGTCGCGCAGGTGGTCGGGTACGCCGCGATATGCGCCGGCTTTTGCTCGAGAGATCGGAAGGGCGTCGAGAGGCGCAAAGGGAAGAGGCTGACGATTAAGGCGGCTCTCTTCGTGGTTTCGTGGTAGGTCACCTGTCGCTCCTTTGAAGTGGGACTTGTTGCATTATTGCAGGGGTCGGACCGTGGCGTTTCCACATGCTTCTCGCATCGCACAATTGTGGATGTGGATGAACCAAAAAAGCCATGAATCATTTGATTTGTTTTAAGCACGAGCATACAAATTTAGTTGAGCTCCCTAGGCTACCTCCCAAATCTGCAGAAAATATTAACTGTACATCCGAAATCATATTGCACACAACGACGGATAAAATCGATTTGTCGATTGTCGCATCCATACGGAGCGATTCAGATGGCGGGAACAAAACGGTGTTAGATGGTCATTATATGGGCTCTGAACTGATTTTCGCGTATCAGGACGAGCTTCGGAGTGGCGACAGTAGTGCTCGGCGCGGCGGCGAGCATGAGCAGGGATCAGCCCTACCGAAGAGGATGGCTCAACGGCGAATGCTACCTGGTCAGAGACGGAGTGTTCGTCGCCTCGGCCGTGCTGGTCGCGATTGCATCAGGTAGCACCCTCTGCCTAGCTGTGATGTCCATGAAGAAAGGTCGGATCGAGCAAGACCTTAAGCTGCACCCGCAAGCGGGCTGAAACAAAAAAAAGAGAGGGTGGAATCGATCGCGAAAGTACGCACGAATCGACTCGTTTTTGCTGGAGATCCGTCGCTAGCTCGCTCTTCGCGTCGAGCCAATCGAGGGGACCCGGCTCCGGTTTGCGACAATTAGTAATAAGGGTAAGAACATGATCTTTAAGATCTTTGGTTATTCTTCGCCGGAAGAACATGTTAAGCATGTTTGGTGGCAATGAAGCACTTTTCTATACGCTGTAGCAACTTACTCTGTACGGTCAAGAGAGACCATCCGATCACGCTGGTCGGCGACTTTCCAAACCATTTCGGCCGGCCGGCCGGCCGCCCGGGTTTTGGCGTATGGCCGATGAGGTGGGGATAGTCTAATTCACGAGTTTGGGATTACCTACTCAGAAGACGAGATTTCCTTATTCAAAATTTTCGGTCAATAATTTCTCGTGATTAGTGCCGCTGCATCTGCTATCGCGGGAATATGTTCTATAGACTTAGCCTACGTGGCTGCATAATCAGTAGCCACGATGGTATTGGGCTACATAGATTAAGTCTATGTAATAACTTCTCGTCGGGCTCGCTTAGCCAACTTGTTGTTTGGGAGGGGCGCGACTCTTTAGGTGGGCTTGTCGGTCGGGGCCGACCCGACGAAAAAATCGCGGGCTTGGGCAGGCAGCCCCTCTTTATGGGCCCGATCCGCCTCGTCAAGGCCTTGAATGGGCCCGGCTACTTAATGAATTGCCTGGAGCCCGATGTTGGGCCTAACCAAGCAGAAGCCCACCTAGCCAACCCAAACCCGACCCGATTCGTCGTCCAACATAACGTGCCTTTGGAGGCGAGTTTTGCTTGAAAAACCAAAAATTTATTCCTCACGGTTGGTGTAAGCGTGTCATAATCGTATTTTCATTTCACGTCGACTCATATTGTTGATGGAAAAAGTGTAAGTTCTACCCAACAGGAGAGGAAATTGATTTATAAAGAACCTCTCGTGCACGTGAGACTTATGAATGAGTGTCCTCCCTTATACGTTTCGATAACAGATGCGTTATCCCTTTTTGCACTTTTAAATGAGGCGTGGTTTCGACCTCGATCGCCGTAAAAATCATGAAAATGCATCTGTAAAATTATAAAATTCCCCATTACCCCCGAGCTACTTTGCTAACTTGGACTTAGTTTCAGATTTGAGGGTATGGTTGAAATTTACCGGGCGAACACCCGCGCGTGAAAAATTGTTACCAATGTAGTTAGAATACATATAGGTGAGGGTTAATCATAGCAAAATCCTGGGTTTGTTTGGTTGATTTTTTTGGGTGCTTAGAGGCCATTAAATTGATAAATTAACCGTACATAGAACGAGGTGGGCAACAAGGTGCCGGTCAAATTTCGTATCCAAGTACTAAATGAAACAACGTGGGACTCATGTGGTGAATTGACAGGGCTAGGGTCCAAAATATTACACGGGCCTAAGACTATACTCGTAGCATTTTACGGGAAAAGTACTTAAAAAAAGTTATAAACTTATTGTATTAATGTTAATTCGGTCCTAAACTTTTTACGTATGCCAATTTAGTTCTAAACCTTTTGACAATTTGTTAATGTAGTCTATCTGGCCAATTTTGGCCGAAAATTGTTGACATGGATGCCGGGTGTCTTATGTGACACGACCGATGCTAACGTGGACAATTTTTTAATGGACTTTTTTGTTTTGCTTTCTCCTCTTTTTAAATATTTTTTCTTTTTCGTTTTTTCTTTCTTTTGTTTTGTAATGTCGGATTCTTTTATTTATTGAATGATAACTATTTTACCGCGATATTCAAATAGAAGATTCATCTTTTAATAACGTTATTTGTTAATATACGAGCCAAATATGAGATACATACCCATACATTGTTAAACTCATTCGAAACCTCTATCATAAATGGTATACATGTGATAAATTTAGTCAAAACTAATTTTTTGACCATAAAAAACTCCAAACTAGTAAATTTGCGACGAATTTATCCTCCGTTAGTTTATGTTAAATTGGATTAATACCACGAAAAATCATAATTTGGTACACCTGTGATAAACGGGGGCTAAAACTCTAAACCGATAAATCATCAACTGGCACGTGTCATCCAACTCAGCAATTTGACGGTCAAAATTGAACGGAAACTAACGGAGGGTAAAACTGTCACATGTGTACCGGTTTGGAACTTTTAGTGGTTAAAAAATTAATTCGTGGTAAATTTACCACAAAAATATAAATTTGAGATTTTTCGTGATATTAATCTTTTATTCGCTTTTTTCCATCTAAATTTGCAGGAACAGTATCCCAAACCTGTCTAATCCAATTTTCACCCCCAAAAGACGGATTCACCCTTACCGCGCCGCCGTCAAAATCACTCCGCGCCTCCGCCACCGGTTCCGTCTCTCTGCACTTTGTCGTCTTCTTCTCCTCCTTCTTCCTTCCTTCTTCCTCCCACACTGAGCAACAATTCTCTCTCTCTCTCTCTCCGCGAGCCGCCGCGTCCTTCCAGAAACTCCGATCAACATCGCCGCCGCCGCCTCCAGCTCCGCAGATCCAAGCGCTCGCATTCCGCCGTCCCGTCCCCCACGCCCGATGCTCCGCCGCTCCGATCGCCGTTAGGGAAATCGCCGGGGGGCCCAGAAATTCCGCAAAGCTGGAGCAGCTGAAGACGATCGGGCGGGAGCTCGCGATGGGCTCCCAGGGCGGCTTCGGCCAGTCGAAGGAGTTCCTCGACCTCGTCAAGTCCATCGGCGAGGCCCGATCCAAGTCCGAGGAGGACCGCATCATCCTCGGCGAGATCGAAACCCTAAAGCGCCGGATCGTCGAGCCCGACATCCCCAAGCGCAAGATGAAGGAGTACATCATCCGCCTCGTCTACGTCGAGATGCTCGGCCACGACGCCTCCTTCGGCTACATCCACGCCGTCAAGATGACGCACGACGACAGCCTGCTGCTCAAGAGGACCGGTTACCTGGCCGTCACGCTGTTCCTCAACGAGGATCATGATCTGATCATCCTCATTGTCAACACCATCCAGAAGGATCTCAAGTCGGATAACTACCTGGTGGTCTGCGCCGCGCTGAACGCCGTGTGTAGGCTGATCAATGAGGAGACCATACCGGCGGTGTTGCCGCAGGTGGTGGAGCTCCTGGGGCATGCGAAGGAGGCCGTGAGGAAGAAGGCGATCATGGCGCTGCACCGGTTTTATCAGAAGTCTCCCGCTTCGGTATTGCACCTGATATCGAATTTCCGTAAGGTAATTTCAAGCTTTATATTTGGTTGGGCCGTGGGTTTGAGCTTGGATGACGGCATGAATGCAAAATGCTGAAATTTCGTATCTTTTGAGAGATGTGTGAGTTCGGGCTATCTGCATTGTCCTACATGGTTAGGTGGATCGCTTGCTACTGCCAATTCGTATACTTTTTCATCGGGGGAAACGCTGATAGTCCTTTTAGAGCAGCATTCTAAAGTTGTTGCAGTTAGGCCTGTGATTTTTGTGCCGTTGCTTCCACTTGATGTGGAATGAACAAAGCTGTTGCAGTTATTAGTGTGATATTGTCACTATTTTGCCCAATTGAAAGTCAGCAAATGTGGAAGCATCTTTTTCCCCTTTTGGTTGCAAGATAACATCTTATAATTGCGACAACCATCTGGATGCGACTTCCTGCTAACTGTCCCATGTGTATTGACAATATCTCTTTCGTATGAACGTTTTGCAACCTCTAATCTTAAAATGCTAAAATGAAATCACTTGTGCAGGAGGAATACTCATAGGAGAGTGCTCCTTCCTTTCCTTATTTTATGTCATCAATAGAGTCAAACCCTATCGTCCTGTGCTGAAGAAATGGTTTTCCTCCTGCCCTTGCTGATTCTGTTGTTGGGACTAGAGGGTAATTCTCGAGTCAGTTAACTACATCCAAGGAAAATGGGGCTGATGCACCTTTGCCTGTTCAATGCACCTTATGCAGCTAGAGACTTGAGCAAAAGCAATATATGTTATACAGAACCTTATTCTTGCTCATCATGCATTTTCCCTTTGTGTGCTGGTTCAGCAGCATATATGGAGCTTTAGAAGTCTCTTATCTGATTTTTATACGATAACCCTGAACTTTAGCACTTTTCTAGGGAGCACAATAATATTTTTTTCTTTCATCTGATGGAATGTCTTTTCTTTTTGGTTACCTCTTTGCAGACGCTTTGTGATAAGGATCCTGGTGTCATGGGTGCAACTCTATGCCCTCTCTTTGATCTCGTAACAATCGATGTTAATTCTCATAAAGATTTGGTTATCAGTTTTATCAGCATTCTCAAACAAGTAGCCGAGAGAAGATTACCGAAGAGCTATGACTACCATCAAATGCCTGCCCCGTTCATTCAGGTTTGTTCTAAAACATTACTCTTAATTTATCTATTCAAGTTTAAATCTAGATATACTGATTAGTATCTTTCCAGAAACATCATAGAGTTTTTTTTTACTTGTGCAAGCATGTTCTGGATGATGTAGAAGTGTGGATTTTCGATTATATGGTGGAAATTTTATTTGTTTTAATGTTGCTTTTGAAGGTTATCGATTGATTGCTGGTAATGGAAACCTATCAGTTCAAATTTTGGACATCCAGTCTCTGATAAGTAAAGAAAATAGTGTGGTCATTTGTATTTATTGCATCTTCTTTGTATTGATTAATGAAGTAAGGGCCTAACACAGGGAAGGATGGTAATGTGTTTTACAAGGAAAAATATTTGAGTCTCCTAAAAACCTCTTGCTTGTGGAATTCATATCTATTCTATGTATTTTACCAATTGTAATTAGTGTAGCAAAAGGGAGAGGAGTCTCTTTCTCATGCTCAGAGCTAGTACAAGATCCAATTTCTGCTGCATTTGAATAGACATCTGAATATACAAAGTTGCCAGATAGGGAGTACAGTAAGGAACGTGAGGTTAGCCGATCTTCCTGGAGACCAATCATTGTCTCCTGATAGAAAATTATTTGTCAAATTCCCTTAGAAAATGTAAACTTGTTGTAGCAACACCAGATTGTTTCCTCGGTCCAACGGAGCTACCTTAGAGTTCAGAGGTGAACGCTAAAGGACTAAAATTATCAACACTCCTCCAGGTCATTCTTCCATTGCTTTTCTGGAGATTGCTCCTACCTGCCAATTGAATGTTATTGGACATAGGAAATTTAGCCTTGTAAACCATTTTTCCTGGTGCTTCTTAAATTTAGAC